GCCCGGCCCACCTGCCGAGAAATGGGTGCGGGGCCCTAAGAACCCTGCAGAAGCAGGACGGGAGTCCAGACCTCCACCCCAATGGGAACCCCGCTGCGGGGCCCAGGGTCAGGACCCAGGCCCGCTAGGGTCCCTCCCTTGCTCGCCGCACCCCTGGCCCCCATGGAGATGACAGGGCCGCGCCTGAGGGAAGGTCGGTGGGCACGCTGGGCGACAGCTGGAGCAGCCCCGCGGGGTGCCGTGGGCCAGCTGCGCTCCCATCCGGGGGGGTCACCGTGGCTCGGGTGCCCTGGGACAGGCAAGGGACGCGGGTGCGGCGCTCCACAGAGGTCACAACGTGCCGCACAGCTCAGCGTCCCCAGCCCCTCCGCGGCGGGCAGCTGGGCCCTCGCAGGGCCCACCTCTGGTCGCCCGAGTCCTTCCTTCCTGGTTTTGTCCCCATCCGTGTGCTGTGGCAGCTATTTTGTAAGAATTCTCTCCAACGGAAAAACAGCCTAAGAAATGTACAAAGTCCATGTTCGCGTCCTGCCTGAACCGCAGGGCCTCAGCCCCCGGTGTCTGCGGGCGCCCGCCCTTCTTGCGCCACCTGCTCAGTCCCCTGGCCCCTCCGTGGGGCCTCCGGTGGAACGTCCCTCTCTTGGTAAATCGGGCCTGGCAATCCCCTCGGCACGCCCACCGTCCCTTCCCTGGAGTTTTGTCCGACTGGAGGCAGGAGTATCCATTGAGCTTCTTTCTTATCCGTCGGCTCCAGGAAGGAGCGCGCTCTGTCTCACATGCCCGGTGTCCCCAGAACCCGGAGAACACGCTGCACGTGGCAGGTGTTTGTTGACTGACTAGTGGACCAAGGCGGTGAATGAGGGGAAGCCACATGACCGTATCTCTGAGGTGATGGAAGTAGGTTCAGTGTTATACTCAATAAGAACCGTTCCAAAATGCCCCTGAAATGAACGGATCATCGCTTGTCAACTACACTCAATTAAATTTTTTTTTTTTTTCAAGTGCCGCAGAAGCAGAGCGGTGTTTCAGATTATGTCCAGGCGCGCTGGCAGCACCCCCCTCCCAAGAGGGTCCTCTGCACCGCCGAGGTGCTGTGTGACTCAGTGTCCCCATCTGGGAAGGGAGGGCGATGGCAGGGTGCCCCCCGTGTGGTGGTCGGGGGGGTCCAGGTGGAGCCCCTGCCCCAGGGCCTGCCGTGTGCGTGATGGTGCTGGTGGTGTTCACGGCCCAGCCACCGGGGGGACCGGTGATAAGCAAGAGTTTCGATAGCATTTAGAGAGAGGGCACCCGGCTGGCTCAGTCGGTGGAGCGTGTGAGTCTTGATCTTGGGGTCGTGAGTTTGAGCCCCACGTTGGGTGTAGAGCTTACTTTAAAAAACAGAGAGCGAGGGAAATAGACTAGGGTGGGGACTGTAGTAGAGAGAGTCACCAGGGATGTGACACTGGGGGCGAGACCCAAATAGTCAGGGAGAGAGCCATGCAGGGAAGGTGTTCCAGGCCAAGGGAACATCACGTGCAAAGGCCCTGGGGCAGGACCAGGCCTGGCGTGTGGGAGGAACAGCCAGGAGGCTCCGGGTGGCTGGAGCAGAGTGGGCGAGGGGGAGAGAGGGAGGAGGGGAGGGCAGGGAGGGGACGGGGTAGATCGTGCCGAGGCTTGGGGGCCTAATTATATTCTAGAGGGGGGTGCAGTTCTCTGCTGCAGAAACAACAGACCAGGCAAGGAGTCCGTGTTTGGGGCTGAATGGTACCACGCATTCCCTCCTTGGGGCAAAGCCAGAGAGGCCCCAACTCCCCCTGAATCAGGCTGTGCAGGCCCTGTCCCCAGTTCCTGGGGCGAGGACAGTTGCCCCTGGCCCACAGGGAACAGCACAGGCTGGGCCAGGGACCTGGGAGTAACCTCAGAGTCAGGGGCAAGTTGAAGGTAGGAAGTCGCCAGACGTGTGAGACGGGCAGCTGAACAGGGGACCGTCCGTGCCGGTTCTCTTACCCTCCCCTGGGACCCAGCCTCCCCACGCAGGGCAACAACATGGGCAGAATGACCTAGAAAATTGGCCTCGGCAGGAAGTTTGCCTTGGGGAAAGGCTGTGTCCCCGCGATGCCCAGGTCAGAATTAAGGACAGGCGCGGTGGGAGGGCACAGCCAGCCGGCCCCCCACTCCCTCACACAGCCTCCCTCCCGTTCCCCGGCTGGAGGCCCGCTGATCCTTGGTTTCCGCGTGCTGTGAGCAACTCCCTTCCCACCACTCCCGGGGCTGTTCCGTGTGCTACGTGAATTCCCAAGCATTTGGGGGGGCATCTAGAATTCAGTTTGGTGTTTCGTTTCATTTTATTTTGCCATAAATAGGATTGTGCTGTCTGTAGCAGTCTGGCTCCCCAGATGTTCTTACTCCCCCACCTAACTGAGTCTCAGCGGTCTTCCCTCGGCTGGTAGTGGGAGCCAGATTTCCACGATAACCACGGATTATTTGATCCCCTGCTGATGGACACTTAGGTTAGTTCCATTTTCCTCCATACAACTAGATCTCAGCTGTCTTCCTCTGTTGCTGCCTGGGAATCTCGATTCCACAGCAGACATGGGCCATAATTTAACCAATCCCCTGCTGATGGACACGTAGCTTCATTCTAGGGTTTTGTTTTGTTTTGTTTTGTTTTGTTTTGTTTTGCCATTTCTAATGACACTTTAGCAAACTCAGGTGTCCACGGTGCCGTGCTCCCTCTCAGGTCTCCAGGGGGGATCCTTCCTTGCATCTTCCAGCTCCCGGTGGTTCCTGGCGATCCTCGGTGTCCCATGGCTCACAGCTGCACCCTCAGACCCACTGTCTTGTGGCCTCTGCTCTGTGTGTCTGTGTCCACGTCTCCCCTTTGTATCAGAACACCAGCCATGGGATGAGGGCCATCTGACCCCAGGGTGACCTCGACTTACCTGGATGGCACCTGCAAAGTGCAGACTCCGCCCCCCCCCCCTCAGTTACACAGGATTCATCTCCAGCATGAGCTACCCCGGGTACTCGGGGCTCTGTGTGTATTCATGGGGGGATACTTGGGGGGCTGCAGCTGCTAAGAGGCTGAGAACAGCTGACCAGCTAGCGGGCAACCCCCATCCAGCTGCCATCTGGCTGGACCCTCCCCACCCGCACCCCACCTCGACCCCCAGGGCCTGGGCTGCAGCCAAGCAGAGTGGAGGGAGGAATACGGGGTGGCGGGGCCAGCAGGCTCCATGCCACACTCCGCCTGGCCTCCCAGCCTCACCGCCTGCACTCACTCCTGCCTGAGGGCCTTTGCACTGGCTGTTGTCCCAACCTGGGACTCCCTTCCCCAGACACGGCAGGCACTTTCCCGATCATCCTCTGGGTCTGCATTAGCTGCCTGTGGCCATCACGACAAAACACCACAAATGGAGTGGCTTAAAACAACAGAGACCTATCCTCTCCCGGTTCTGGAGGCCGGAAGTCTGAAACCGGGGTGTTACAGGGCCATGTCCCCTCCGAAGCCTCCGGGGAGGATCCTCTCTACCTCTTCCAGCTTTTGGTGGCTCCGCACGATCCTTGGTGTCCCTGGCTTATAGACACGTGAGGTCAGTCTCTGCCTCTGTCTTCCGCGGCTGTGCCCTCTGTACATCAGTGTGCGTGTCCATGTCCCTCTTGTTATTAAGGACACCAGTCCCTGGATGTGGGGCCACCCTACTCCGATAGAACCGCATCTTAACTGGTCACATCTGCAGGATCTTGTTTCCAAACGAGGTCCCATTCACAGGTACCAGGGGCTAAGACTCGAACATGGCTTTTTGAGGGACGCAAGCCAGCCCACTGCAGGGTCTCAGCTGAGACGTCCCCTTTGCCAGTCTGCGGCCACGCCCCCTTCCCCCCTGGCCACCCATCCTCCCTTCCAGAGCCTCTCGGGTGCGTCCTGGGGACTTGCTGTCGGTGTGGATTGAGCTCTGATGTTCCCCAAGCGGGTGCCAGGTTTCACGCACACTTCTAGGCTCTGAGGAAGTCGAGGTGATGAAAACAAAAGACCTGGGAGTGGTTGCAATCCACTGGGAGGAGACAGACAGTGAACAGGGTTTTAAGCTATGCCATAATTTCATGTGGTGGTTGGACCGGTGCAGACACATAAACAGGGAACTAGGTGGGTGGGGGCCCCGGGAAGGCCTCTGGGGGCGGCCAGCAAGAATATTTAGAACACTGGTATCTCCCCTGGGAGGATGTGAGCCCGAGGAGGGCAGGATCTACGTCTGCCTTGTTCTTCAGTGTATTCAGAGCCTGGTATTCAGTAGGCGCTCACTAAGTGTTTTTTGGGGGGCGTTGTACCCCAAAATTGTACACTATATTTGTAAAGTTCTTCTCCAGTTCAATAAATGTTTTCTCTTGCAATTTTTTTATTGAGATAAAATTCACATAACACAAAATTTGCCCTTTTAAAGTGTACATTTCGGTGGCTTTCAGTGACCATCAGCACTATCTAGTTCCAGAACATTCGGTCACCCCAAAAGCAACCCCGTCCCCATCAGCTGTCACCTCCCCCTCCCCTCCCCAACCCCGGGCCCCCACGAGCCCCCTTCCCGTCCGCGGATGAGCGCGTTCTGGACGTGTCACCCACGTGGACGCACACCCCGTGTGGCCTTCTGTGTCTGGTTCCCTCCCTGAGCGTCGTGGGCTCGGGGTCCGTCCCCGGGGCCGCGCGTGTGGGCGCCTCGCTCCCGTTCTCGGCCGCGGGACCCTCCCGTGCGTGGGGGACACGCTGTGTGCATCGGTTCATCTGCTGATGCCCGTGTGAGCAGTTGCCGCTTTCTGGCCCTGAGGAACGCTGCTGCCGCGAACGTGCGTTCAGTTCTCTGGGGCGCTGGGCCCGGCCTGGATAGACGCGTCTCGTGCGCACCGCTGGGGCGGGGGGGGGGGGGGGGGGGGGGGGGGGGGGGGGGCGGGGCGCCCCGCGTGCTAATGCCTCCCCCGCCCGCAGGTGCCCACGAGGATGGTGGCGCGGCCCTAGGCCCAGGCTCCGCACCATGACCTGCTGGCTGTGCGTCCTGAGCCTGCAGCTCTTGCTTCTGCCCGCGGCCCCGCCCCCGGCCGGCGGCTGCCCGGCCCGCTGCGAGTGCACAGCGCAGACACGCGCCGTGGCCTGTCCCCGGCGCCGGCTGACCTCCGTGCCCGACGGCATCCCGGCCGAGACGCGCCTGCTGGAGCTCAGCCGCAACCGCATCCGCTGCCTGAACCCGGGCGACCTGGCCGCGCTGCCGCTGCTGGAGGAACTGGACCTGAGCGAGAACGTGATCGCGCACGTGGAGCCGGGCGCCTTCGCCAACCTGCCGCGCCTGCGCGTCCTGCGCCTGCGCGGGAACCTGCTCAAGCTCATCCCGCCCGGGGTCTTCACGCGCCTGGACAACCTCACGCTGCTGGACCTGAGCGAGAACAAGCTGGTCATCCTCCTGGACTACACCTTCCAGGACCTGCACAGCCTCCGCCGGCTGGAGGTGGGCGACAACCACCTGGTGTTCATCTCGCGCCGGGCCTTCGCGGGGCTGCTGGCCCTCGAGGAGCTGACCCTCGAGCGCTGCAACCTCACGGCGCTGTCGGGCGAGTCTCTGGGCCACCTGCGGGGCCTGGGCGCCCTGCGGCTGCGGCACCTGGCCATCGCCGCCCTGGAGGACCAGAATTTCCGGAGGCTTCCGGGCCTGCTGCACCTGGAGATCGACGACTGGCCGCTGCTGGAGGAGGTGGCCGCCGGCAGCCTTCAGGGTCTCAACCTGACCTCGCTGTCCGTCACGCACACCAACATCACCGCCGTGCCGGCAGCCGCGCTCCGCCACCAGGCCCACCTCACCTGCCTCAACCTGTCCCACAACCCCATCAGCACGGTGCCGCGCGGCTCCTTCCGCGACCTGGTCCGCCTGCGCGAGCTGCACCTGGCCGGCGCCCTGCTGGCCGTGGTGGAGCCGCAGGCCTTCCTGGGGCTGCGGCAGATCCGCCTGCTCAACCTCTCCAACAACCAGCTGTCCACGCTGGAGGAGAGCACCTTCCACTCGGTCAACACGCTGGAGACGCTGCGCGTGGACGGGAACCCCCTGGCCTGTGACTGTCGCCTGCTCTGGATCGTGCAGCGCCGGAAGACCCTCAACTTCGACGGGCGGCTGCCGGCCTGCGCCACCCCGGCCGAGGTCCGCGGCGACGCGCTGCGCAACCTGCCCGACTCGGTGCTCTTCGAGTACTTCGTGTGCCGCAAGCCCAAAATCCGCGAGCGGCGGCTGCAGCGCATCACGGCCGCGGCGGGCGACGACGTGCGCTTCCAGTGCCGCGCCGAGGGCGAGCCGGCGCCCACCGTGGCCTGGGTGACGCCCCGGCACCGCGCCGTGACCGCCGCCAGCGCGGGGCGCGCGCGCGTGCTGCCCGGGGGCACGCTGGAGATCCAGGGCGCGCGCCCGCAGGACAGCGGCACGTACACGTGCGTGGCCAGCAACGCGGGCGGCAACGACACCTACTTCGCCACGCTGACCGTGCAGCCCGAGCCGGCCGCCAACCGGACCCCGAGCGAGGGCCGCAACGAGACGCAGGCCGCCGCCCGCTTCCCGCTGGACCTCACCACCATCCTGGTGTCCACCGCCATGGGCTGCATCACTTTCCTGGGCGTCGTCCTCTTCTGCTTCCTGCTGCTCTTCGTGTGGAGCCGCGGCCGCGGGCAGCACAAAAACAATTTCTCGGTGGAGTACTCCTTCCGCAAGGTGGACGGGCCGGCCGCGGCCGCCGGGCAGGGCGGCGCCCGCAAGTTCACCATGAAGATGATCTGACGGCCCCGGGCCCAGCGCTCGCCGCCCGCCCGCCCGCCCGATGACCACCTATGCATCTCCCGGACGCGGCCCTGCGGCCGGCTCCTGGCAGAACTGCCCCCGTTTTTTTGTAGAGACACGACCACAGGACTGTTTTTTCATCAGGACTCATCTTTTGCATAGTTTCTCAAGCATTTTCTAAAGGTTTCACTCTGTCTTCCTGCCCCTGCTGTGGTCGCTGAGCTGGGGGGAGGGTGCTGGGGGAGCTCGGAGACCCCACAGCCCTCACCGTGGGGGGTGGTGGTTCACACCCCAGGGCGGGGCAGGGGGGTGGTACACAGCTGCTGCCCCAGGGTCCCCCAACACTGCTCACACCCTAAGGGACCATGGCCTACATCCAGGACGTGGGGGGGCTGCCCAGCCCCCAGGGGAGGCACACCTGGACGCCCCACACCTCTCATCGAGCACACGGGTGTTCAACCCAGGACACACTCTTGGACACACAGCTCCAAAACAGAACGCACACACACCTCTACCCAGCTGACCATAAACAGGTGCCCCAGGCTGCAGAGCCCAACTCGGGCACGCAGGGCTCTCGTGAGAGCACAACGCATGCCTGACACATACCCTGCTCACACTCAGGACACACCCAGCTCACACCTGGGACACACATACCACACTCGAGACACGCAGCACACATTGGGGACATCCCCAGCTTACACTGGGAACACACTGGGCTCACACCTGGGACACACACAGCTCCCAGCCAGGACATGCTCAGCTCACACCCGAACACGCAGTTCACACTCGAGACACACACAGCTTAGACCCAGCTGACGCTAAACGTGTGCCCCAGGCAGCAGAGCCCACCGTGGGGACCCAGGGCTCTCCTGAGAGCCCAACTCACGCCTGGGACAAACAGCTCACACTTGGGACGTGCACAGATCACGCCTGAGACACACTCAGCTCACACCCAGCTCCTGCTCAGCTGGCCATCTCGGGGGGAACCTCTGGGGCTGCACTAAGGTCTTGCAGAGCAGGTACTGCCCAGCACACGGCATGCTAGCCCGTGCCCCTGTCCCAGACTTTCCCCCACACCAGGACCCACTGGCCCTGCAGGGCGGGCTGCCCACTAGGAGAAGCCATCTCCCCCCGCTTCCTCTGCCACCCCCAATAGCTACCGTTTGCTTGCTCTGCCCACGCCCCTGGAACCCGCTGTGCATGTGGGGAATGAGGCCGGAGAGTGTGGCCGGTTCTGGGGGTCCCCGTTCAGTGCACTACAGGGGCAACAATGGTGAACAAGGCCAGGACAGGGTGCAGGCTGCAGGGGGATCTGGACCTGCGCTGTTGGGAGGAGGTGGTAGGCGCACCTCGGTCTCTGCCACTTTGGGGCAGAGCTAGGGCTGGGGAGTAAGGGAGCACAGGCAGACGGAAGCTCGGGTTAAGGAAGAACTTCCCCAAGGTCACTGCCCTGTGACTCTTCAGATAGTGAGTTCCCCATCACTGGGGGTAAGCAACAGGAGCTGACGTTTTACAGAAATCTTCAGACACCACACAGCGTCCATCCATGACCCTGCCTCTCCCAGGCGGTTTATTGCCCCTACCATCCACCTGGGCCAGATGACAGGGTGTCGTTGGAGGAAGGGGCACAGGAAACGTGGTGGGGCCCCTAGACCAGAGAGGAGCTTGGCCGCCCACCAAGCAGGTAGGACAGTATTCTCAAGGACCTCGTAGGAAGGCTGGAAACCAGGTCTGTTCCCGCCCAGGTGTGCAGTTGTAGCTGATGTCTGAGAACCACCTGGACCACTGGGGTCCCCATCCGTAGCATAGGTCTGAGGTCAAAGCCACTGCTGCATGTATATAGGAGGCCAGGTCCACGGACGGGCTTGATGCCTGACCTGGATCCCAGATCCTTCAAGACCTTTCTGAGAGGAGCCAGAGAGACGGCTGGGCCAACCCTGGGGGTTTTGAGCACGGGATTCAGACAGAACTCCGAAGGGGATGCCAGCCCTCCTCCCTGGGCTGTGTGGCGGGAAGCGTCGGGAGGCCCCGGTCTTGCTCCCACCTGCCTCAACCCCACTCGTGGTGAGAGGCGTAGCGACAGCTGAAGGGGTGTCCTGTGACCCCAAACTCCACCCGAGTTGGGCAGAACCGACTGGTTTTCTCCCTTCACATCCTCCTGACCTTGGTTGCCATAACAACCCCAAAGGCCCCTCAAAATGACATCCAAGTGCCTTTAGCATCATCAACAATGGGAGGGGTATGTTCTCAGCAGCGTCAGGACTCGCAGAACGGCAGCGTATTGGGATCTCCCACCCCCTCTGCTCACCCCCCATCCCAACATGAACCAAGACCCCCTCCAGCCCCCCCAGGCCCCTCCTGCTGTATTTGGTTGGAATCCAGTAAAAATGAAGCTGATTTAATAACGGACTTAAGGGTTGTTGGGTCTTTTGTTTTTTTAATTCTCATGGGAGGAGTGGGGGCAGGAAGGAGTGGCTGCTGGGGTCCCCAGGGGGAGCCGTCTGGTTCCAGCGCCAAAGCTGGCCTGTGTCACGGGGCGCTTGTGGAGACAGAAGGACCTGCGGTGATGACATTACAGGTCTTGCTTCGGGAGCACCCATGCTGTTCCCGGTGCTGTTCCTCAGCTGCCGGTATTAACTCCTTTCGGGCAGGTAAGAGCCCTGAGAGCTGGGTTCTTTTAGGACCTCACTTTACAGATGGGCCAAGGGGAAGTCAGGGGATGGAGGGCATTTGCCCAGAGTCCCCAGCTGGGGGAAGGTGGGGTGCTCCCCGCTGTGCTTCCTCTCTCCAGGCTGGGGGGTCTCCCCTCTTCTGAGGGGTACCGGCAGTCTCCCTGCTTCTGGAGGCTCGGGAAAAAAGGCAAGCAGCTTCAAAAATGTATTTATTTGTTTGTTTATTTGTTATTTGAATCATCTCTACCCCCAACGTGGGGCTTGAACTCACAACCCCAAGATCAAGAGTCACATGCTCTTTTTTTTTTTAAAGAAGGAACTCTTTTTTTTTTTTTAAAGATTTTATTTATTTATTTGACACACAGAGAGAGCGAGAGAGAGAGAGAGAGAGAGAGAGAGAGAGAGGGAGAGAGCACAAGCAGGGGGAGCGGCAGGCAGAGGGAGAAGCAGGCTTCCTGCATGAGCAGGGAAGCCCGATGTGGGGCTCCATCCCAGGACCTTGGGATCATGGCCCGAGCTGAAGGCAGCGGTTTAACCAACTGAGCCACCCAGGCGCCCCCCACACGCCCTTCTGACTGAGCCAGCCAGGGGTCCCCTAAGAGCAGGCAGCTTTGAGGGGCACCTGGGTGGCTCTGCGGGTTGAGCCTCCGACTCTTGGTTGCGGCTCAGGTTGTGATCACAGGGTCGTGGGATTGAGCCCCACGTCGGGCTCCCTGCTCAGCTCGGAGTCGGCTTGGGATTCTCTCTCTCCCGGAGTTTCCATCTGGCCCTCCCTTACTCAGGGGCACGTACTCTCTCTCTCGGCTTTTGAACAAAGCACTTTGTCCGCCCTTCCTGGAAGGAGGTAGGCCGAGTCAGAGCGGTCAGCAGACCCCGGCCCCAGGCAACGTGGCCAAGGGTGGCCTCTCCCGTGCCGCTCAGCGCCTCTCTGTGGGCCTCGGGGTCCCCGTCTGAAGAGTGTCCTTTCCCGCCCTGCAGGAGACGGCAGCAGGACGGGGACGCTTCAGGCTGTGGGGTGACCCCTCCGTGCCTGATTTCAAAGAAGCCGCCAGGCGAGGATGCCGGCCTCGGGCGAGGATGCTGGCCCTGGGAGCCTCCCTTCCCCTGGTCCTCCCACAGCAAAGGGAGGAGAAACCCGCCCCTCGGCAGGGGCTGCCCGGCTCCCTGGTTCAAACCGGGTGTGAGACCCAGGATTTCCTGAGTCCCATTCCGGTCTTGGGGTGGGGCTGAGGGGTCCTCCTTCCAAGGCCCAGCTGAACGGGGACCCAAACCAAGGAGGGGCCGCTCACAGGGTGTCTGTGGGGTCCCCCCAGAACACAGGACAGCACGCCTGGGCCTGGGAGGGGGGCGCTGACTATCCCTGCCTTGATTTCCCCTCCCAGATGGAGCTTCCTCCAGTGGCACCCTCACACCTCGCGTCTCTGAGCCCCATCTTCCCGGCACAGAGTGTCTCTTCCAGGCCCTTCCAGGCAGTGCCCCCCACCCCCGGGAGACCCCGAGCCGTGCACAGGAACGCCCCGTGACGAAACTGAGATTTATTAGTTGACAGTTCTGGAGCTCAAAAGTCTAAAATGGGTCAGCAGGGCTGGTCCCCCCCGGGGCCCCCGGGGAGACCCGGCTCCGGCCTCTTCCTGGCCCGCGGCCCCCCTCCATCCTCACCGCCAGCCGCGCGGGGTCTGCCCGTCTCTGGGACTCCCACCCTCTGCCTCCCCCTCGTGAGGACGCCGGGCCCCCCAGGAACCCAGGGTCACCCCCACCTTATTTCATTAGCAGCCTCAGTTTCCCCCACATAACAGGTTCATAGGTCCTGGACATGGACACCTTTGGGGGCCATAACTCTGCCCACCACCAAGACGGGGGCATTTTTCTCAGGAAGGCCAGTGTCGCGTGGAATCCGCGAGCACCCCGGCCCAGCAGGACGCGCAGAGGCTGACCCCAAGGCGGGGTGGCCGGGAGGGGCAGGCCCGGGGCGACTCCCATGTGGATGGTGGTGAGCCAAGGCAAGCGGTCCTCACTCCCGAGCCCCAGGGGAGGCCTGTCCAATGGGGCTCGGCGGGGTGCTGGGCACTCTGCTCTCCTCTCCTGCAAAGGCCTCTGGGAGCGCTCCCAGGAGAGGCCAGCCTGAGGCAAGCAAGGGATCCCCGGGCAACCCCCACCCCCACAGCCACCCCGCCCCATCCCAGGTGCGAAAGTCCCTGGAGATGTCACCCCAGGTCCCAGCCTGGCCCGTCTGCTCACCCCCAACGCCCCCACCCCCGCTTGGCCACGTTGCTGCCATGGCAGGGCGGGGCCCAGGCTGGGGCGAGTGAGGCCCTCCCCTCAGGCACAAAATTGGAAGGGGAAGGGCGCCTGGGTGGCTCAGTCGGTTAAGCGACTGCCTTCGGCTCAGGTCATGATCCTGGACCCCCCCGGGATCGAGTCCCGCATCGGGCTCCCTGCTCGGCGGGAAGTCTGCGTCTCCCTCTGACCCTCTTCCCTCTCGTGCTCTCTCTTTCTCTCTCATTCTCTCTCTCTCTCAAATAAATAAATAAAATCTTTTAAAAAAAAATTGAAGGGGAAGCCCAGAACTCAGTCATCAAAATCAACATCCCACAAACAAAATGAATTCATGTCCCAGATCCACAATGAACAATAATCCATCTCTTAAATAAAAATAGGATCTGCCCCGGCAAGACCCTGCCTGGCCCTGTTTCTAATAACACATCATTTCCCTAAACAGCTGGGTGGCCCACGGCCCTGGGAAGCCAACTAGGTTTCTTAAGTCTCACATGGAAATGCTCTTTATCTCGATTACGGAGTGCGGTTTTTTTGGCCACATCTTAACATTCTGTGCCTGAGGTGGGTGCCTGGCAAGCTGTGCCCCAGTCGCGGGTCGGAGCCGGGAGCTCACCGGGGGGCCCCATGGCCTCATGACGGGCAGAGCAAGGCTGGTGCTCAGAAGGGTGTGGGCAGCCAGGGGGCACGTCTGGTCCCACCAGGGACGGCCCCGGATTTGTGGAATCCGTCCCCTGGGCTCGTCCTGGAGCCCACACCCTCCCGTCGTGAGGTTCACAGGGCACCCCACCGATGACAGGCGGAGAGGGTCAATTCTATCGGTTCAGGAAGCTGAGTGTGGGAAAAAGGGAAATTATAGGGTCAAGTTACAGAACCTCACGCTGCAAATGCCTTGAGCTCAGCCGGTCCGTTTTTCCCCAAATGTGGCAGGGGACCCGTGTGGAAGATGTTCACCAAGTGGCTTAACCTGCTTCCCCGCACCGAGGGCCTTGGGTAGGGTGGGGCACCCAGCAGTGACCCCAGGGACCTATCACTGTGCCCCGCCCGGCCGTATGACCCCACAAGGATTCCCTACCCTCTCTGGGCTCACTGCCCCGGAGGGAAACGGCAGGCGGCGGGGAGAGAAATCCAGCCCCAAATACTCTCCAACCACAATGCGAAAAGGCCGTTGCAACCTTGCCCGCGTGGGATGCCGTGGTTTTCCCTTCACGTGGGGGAGAAGCTGCATTCGGAGCTGGGGCGCCCTTCACGCCCGCCGCCCGGCCGGGCAAGCCTCCAGCCCAAACACAGCTACAACTTCAGCGTCTGGTCCCCCTGGATTTTCACCTTTCTTGCTTTTCCACGTGTGGCAATCGTAGACCAACCGTCCCAGAGCTCAGGCAGGCGCTTGCTCCTGAGGCCCCGCCCCGGGTCCCCGGCTGGGCGGGCAGCGGGCAGGGGGCGCTGGGGGCTTCTCAGCCAACCCCACAGAAGGGGAAGCGAAAGCCACAGAGGAAAGAGCCACCTGGGGCCATTTCTCTGTGCCCGGTGGCTGGGGCCCCCTGCCCTCGCCGCCCCCTCGCGCGAGCTCTGGGACCATCGCCCCTGCCCCCCCTCCTGGCCCAGGCCCCGCCCTCTGCCTGGAATGCCCTTCCCATCTTTGAGGGAGGCGCCCTTTGCGGGCAGGCGGGAAGCCTGGCCTGGGGAAGTGATGCACAGAGCACCCCCTCCCCTGCGGTCTGACAGTTGCGCGGCACTTCCGGGTGGCCGCAGGCCACAGGTCAGCCTAGCGGGCCAGGGGCGGCAGTGCCCCGGAGTTTCACCCCAAGGCCGCCCCTGCCCCCCGGTCACTCCAGTCCTGCAGGTAGGGGCTCCCGGAGGGGTGTGGTGGGGCGGGGGGCGGGCAGAAGCAGCGCCTCGCTGAGGTTGGAGTGAAGGGGGGGTCTGGGTGGGGCCGGGGGCCAGGCTGCCGAGCTCTGGGAAGGAGCCCCCCCCACCCTGCACGGGTCCCTGGGGGCTATCGTCGGCCCCCAGCTGACCCCCCACCCCGGCCCACCCTCACAGCTGGACATTCTATTCAGTCCATGTCACAAAAGCACAGGGTCCTTCCCACTATCCTGGAAAGTTGAGGCGTGATGTTCCTGCCTCACCCGTGAGGAGAGGAGCCCAGAGAGGGCGACACACTGTCCCAGGGCCACCAGCAGGTCAAGCCGGGCAAGAAGACCGAGACTGCCCCCACTCTCGCCTAGCTCCCCGCACCCCCCACGCACACCATCAGCGCCCCGCGCGTGCCCACCCCCGCGTGCCCCCAACTCTGACCTCCCCCCTGCAGCATGAGCGGCCCTGAGCCACCCAGTGAGACCTCTGGGCCTGACGCCCCCACCTGGCCGACTCAGCCCACCTACAGCAACCTCGGTGAGCCCCCCGGGGGCCGGCAGGGGCGGGTGGCTGAGCTGAAGGGCTGAGGCTCCCCCTGCCTGAGGGCAGCTTAGCTTGCTTATAGCGACCAGTTCGTGGTCCTCCAGAAAACTCTGCTGAGAAAGGAAAAAAGCTGGGATCATCAGCTTGTAAACATGGGGGTGGGGTCATTTGGCCAGAGCCACGCAGGGACACGGGGTCACCTGGCGTGGGCTGGACACCTCTCTGCCACCGATGCGTCCCTCCTCCGTAAACTGGGGATGGCACCCATACCCCACGGGGCCATTCTCATTCTGCAGATGGGGCAGTGGTGGCCGAGGGGCCTGAACGCTGCATGTCCTCACGCCCTTCCCCACTCCCCCCCTCAGGTGAGGTCCGCGCCCAACTGCTGCCCTCCAAGGCCTGCCACCCCCGGACATCCGGGCGCCCCCCGACTGACTCAGAGCCCATGCCCCCACCCCTGCCCAAGAAGACCCTGGCCAGGACCCAGTCCCTGCCCACCCACAGGGCCCGCGGCTCCAGCCCTGCTCCCGCAGGGCAGCCTCGGAGACCCTTTCTGGGGTCCCACAGTGTGGACGAGAGCCAGGCAGGCAACGACCGACCTTGGGCCTCCCATCCGCCTGTGGAACCGCACTTCCACTTGCTCAACAGCCCGCTGGGCCTCGCCTGGCACGACCTGCATTTCCCCGAGGCCAGGCACACCATGCTGGAGGCCCGGCAGCTGGAGGGGCTCCACACCGTGCACGCCCGGCTCCAGGCCCGGCTGCTGGGGGGCCACCCGGGCCCCTGCCAGCCCGGCCACGGCTTCCGCCTCCTGGACAGCTCGCCATGCGTGGAGAGCGGAGACGCCCTCTACTACCGCCTGGTGCGGGTGGGAGGCGAGACGTGGCACATGCTTGCTGCCAAGGTGAGCCTGCCACCGCCCCCCTCCTTGGAACTTTCCCCAACGTCCCATCTCGGGCGTAAGCCAGAATGCGTACGGCTTGGGCTCCCCACTTACTCTGCACCTAACGTGCACTAACACAGTCAGCCCTGGGAACCCCGTTTCTCAGGTGTGGGGCCACGGGCATGCAAATCACCTGGGAGTCTTAACCCCCCACCCCCTGGGAGCCCAGGAGTCTGCATTTTAACCCAGTCTCCAGCGAAAGCCGCTGAGTTCGCCAGCCACGTTAATGATAATAATCAGTCACCATCAAAACGTCTGGAGTGTTTCTGGGTGCCCTAAGCTGTTCCGTTCTAGGGACCCCAAGACGCCCTTACCCACCGAATCTTCACGCAACTATCACCACATTTGTCATAAGATCCTTCCGTTTTTATGCACCACTCAGAAAAAAAAAAAAAAATCCCTGGTAAGCCACCCCGCGTCAGACACATCACCGTTTGGGAGGACCCTCAGCAATTAGACCACCTGCGCTGGGGGGGCCCGTCCCTTTCACCCCCTGCAGCACCGAGGGAGAACAGTGTTGCTGGCTGCGTGTGTAGTGGGCAGTTGGATCCTGGCTCAAGCTCGGAGGCCCCGGGGGTGTAGTTTTTAAAACACCCCCCCCCCAGGTGATTCTAATATAGTTCCCAGAGCTGGTGCTCCCCCCACCTCAAAAGAGCTTTGTGGTCCGGTACAGCGGCTGTTGGCCAGTGGGACGTCTGAGCCCCTGAACCGGGGCTGGTCCCCATGGAGTGTCCGCCATGCACCAGATCTCCAAGACTCAGGATCAAAAATTAACCATAATGCAAAACACCTCATTAGTGGCTTTGACGTTCACGACTGTTGCGTGATAACATTTTGGATATATCAGGTCAAATAAAACAGCGTATGGGATTTATGTTCACGTTTCTTACCATGTTTAGAATGTGGCTCCTGGAAACGTTTAATGATACCATGGCCTGAGTCCCGGCCTTGGCACCTGTGCTGGCCCCTTCCTCGTGCCTCTGGAAGGCTGCAGTTTGACCCCTAAACACCAGCGTCCTTAGCGGAGCTTTCCCTAAAATCATGCTGGCGACACACATCCCAGTTAACATGTAACTCCTGCTTCTGGGGGCCGGTTGGCCCGCTCCCCCCTCCCAAACCGCCGTGGGGGCAGGCGGGAAGGCTTCTGCGGTCAGGGCCCTGACGGCCCCCCTTTGCCCCTCAGGTGCCCAAGCCGGGAGCTGAGGAGCCCCACCCGTGGGGCCTGGAGCTGCAGGCCTCGCTGGCCCCACACTTCAACCTGCAGGGGCTGTGCGGCCTGGTGCCCGAGGGCACGCTGCCCAACGTGACCTGGAGAGGCCCTGTGGTGCTGGTGGCTGAGGTGCCCGAGCGCACGGTGACCCAGTGGCTGTCAGAGGTGGGCAGGAGGCCGCGGCCCGCGGAGTTCCCCTGGGTCGTGGCCCTGCTGCTGCTACAGCTGAGTTCAGCCCTGGAGCACCTGGAGGCGCAGGGCGCGGCCCTGGTGGAGCTCCGGCCGGAGAACCTGCTGCTGGCGGCACCTCGGGGCTGTGCGGCGACGGGGCCCCCACGCCTGCTGCTGGCCGACTTTGGCCGCGTCCACCCACGGCCCCTGGGACCGCCCGGCGCCCACGCGCAGCAGCTGAGCCGCCTGCTGCGCGTCCTACTCGGCCCTGCTGCGCCCTCAGCCACGCCCTTGGCCGCTGGCCTGGAAACTCTGGCGGCCCAGCTGGCCCGCTCGCGGCCCTCGGCGGCCCAGACGCGGGCGGCGCTGCAGACGCTGCTCTGGGGGCCTGGGCCTGAGCTGCACCGCCAAGGAGCCCCACTAGGGCCCTGGCTGCGGGTGGGCCGCGCGCTGCTCGTCCTACACCTGGCCGAGCGGGCCGCGGCCGGGGTGGTGCCGGGCCTGGAGGACTGGCTGTGCTGTGAATACCTGGCTGGGGCCACGGAGGCCTCCCTGGGCCACGCCCTGGCACTGCTGTGGGACTGACGCCTCCCAAGGGCCTCGCCGAGAGGTAGGAACCCTCCCCAGACCGGGGGCCAGAAGGCCCGCAGAGATTGCCTCCATGATGGTGGGGACACCCTCTTCCAGAAAGGGCCAGAAGGCCGGGGGAGAGTGTGGGACTGTGGACACCTCCTCTCCAAGGCACCCCCCTTCTACTCCGGGGACTTAGGCCCAAGTCCTTCCCAGGAAGGCCGGGGGCTGGGGGCCAGTGGCCAGCGCCTCCTGAGGCTTTCTGAGGCCAGGATGGCCCAGCCCTCTTCCAGGTGTGGGCACTCCCTTTCGGCCAAGGTCTGTGTGAGTGTGGGACCCCTCCCCCCACCTCCCAGCAGAAGTGAGGCTGCCCTTCTAGTGCTGGAGTCTGAGGGTCGCGGTCTCGGGGAGAAGGTGGACACTGTCCTCCATCTCTGGCCCTGGAGCACCCCCTTGTGCTGCGATGGCCAGTGACTGTGTGAACGTCCTCGTCTAGACCTGCTTGGGGTCTCCAGGGGGAGGGGAAGCTCCTAGAACCTGGGACACCCAGCCCACCCGGCACAGCCTGCCTGAGCGCCTGAGCTCACCTGCCCGGGCGTCCCCATGGTGTCCCCGTGCCTTCCACCCCCCCCACTCTCTCCACCCAGCGTGGCCTCCGCGCTCTCCCTCTGTGAAATGCAATTCTGTCCAGCTGCCACGCTTCTGCGGGGGCCGTTCCCTTGCCAGACTGTCCGAATCTCAGCTCCTCTAAGCAAATAAAGCTGCCCCTCCTGGGCCCACTGTCGCTCCTCCCCGTGCCTCCCCCCAGAGCACTGATCACCACCTGCAAGTATTTCTCTCATGACCTGCCACCTGACCACTTCATCCACCAGGCTGAGTTCCCTGAGGGCAGAAGCCAGGCTTAACACACAGTAGGTGTTTAATCTCACAGGGTGATGGCATCAACTGGCAGGGAAGACTCATCAGGGAACCTGGGGGAGAAAACAGTCTCAGTTTACGCCTCTGAAAAATGGGACACACAAGCCCTGAGCCGCCCCACTGCCCTTACCTCTGGGGCCTCCAGTCATGCCCCCTCACTTCCCCTCCCCCACCGTGGCTCCCTCAGGTATGACCAGGTTCCTCTCCTGCTCAAACCTCTCCCCTGGCTCCTCAGTACCCTCAGAATAGAGTGGGGCTCCTCCAAAGCCTCCACAAGCTCTCTCCGGCCAACCCCTCCTGCCACATTGCCTACCCGCGGAGCTTTCTGACCTCCAGAACTTGCCCAGGTTATTTCTTGCCCTGGATCACTCTCCCCTCTCTACTCGTCCGCTTCAGACTCCTATTCATCCTTCAATACCCCAACTCCAAAGCCCTTTGTCCACCCTTACACTCCCCCCAGACTGGAGTGTTGTCCAACTGTCCCTTCAGAACTCTGAAGACCAGCTCCATCCTCAGGTAACTGAACATCCTACGCCAGCCCCAGATATACTCCAATCCCTGCAAGTACCTTTCCTGCTCCATAAAAATTACCCTCTTCCAGCCTCTCAGCTGAGGCCTGGATGTGTCTCTCTGGGGCCGTGCTCCCAGATGCCGCCAGCAGGTGGCGCTGCAGTCCTCCCGAACCATAACCAGCGCCCTCCCGGCCGACCCTCCAGCCGCCCGGCCCGCTTCCCTGCTGTGACCCCTGCGGCCAGAACGCTCCTGCCCCAGCACAGCCCTGCAAGGCCCTCCCCAGCAGCTACTGGTGTCCACGGGGTCCACACAGCTGCTGAGGCGGGGGCCCAAGTTCAGACACCCCACAGCTCAGCACCTCAAGTCCCAGGTTGCCCTGGCCACACCCCACACGAGGGCAGGAGGCAGAGGTGAAACTGTTCAGGGCCAGCAGGAACTCAGCCAGCCGGCAGCCGTGGCCACCCCAGAGAAGGGCGCCGGGCCGGGGGAGGGGCGGCAGCCTGCCCCCCCCCCCCGCCCCCGGAGCCTCCCGGGGCTGCTGTAAGGACCGCGAGAGCCCGAGGCACAGAGGCACCCGGAGCCCCGGGGGCTGGCCCTGCATCAGATCCCACAGGCGCGGGGCCGTGGCCGGAGAGGTGAGGCGGTTCCCTCCCGCAGAAAGGGGTCACACAGCTGAGGGCAGGTGCACAGCCCCAGGGTGGCAGGCGGGGGACAGTGGCCGGGGGAATACCACTGAGCCAACACAGGTCTTGGAGGTGTCATCACTTTTATTCAGATTTTTCAGAGCACTAGAAGGGTAGATTAACACCTATCCAAGGTAAGAGACCTACGATTTCCAAGAGCCTTCAAATAAGAAACTCCTCCTCCAAATACAGGAACAATCGGAATCATCTTAAACCAGCAATAAAAAAGTAAAATATAAACTTTTATTTAGAATTAAAGCAAATACTTCAGTATCACAAACACAATATTAAACTTCAAGAAATATACCGCTAATTTGGAGTGAGCGTTTATTTGCACAATTACAACATGCGGACACACCCAGCAGAGGAGCAGGCCTGACGTCTGCACCCCGCACGGCAGTCGCTCCCACCACCCGCACTGAGCGCAACACACGCGACGGGACTGCGATCCGGGGCGCCGGCGGCACCGCCCCTACTCCTCCTCACCCGCAGACTCTCTCTCAAACGTGTAGGCCATGAAGCAAGCGTCAGGTCTCTTGGGGACAAGGGGATGCCCCGGTCTCACAATCTCAAAGCCCAAAAAGCTGAAGGTCCGGAGCAAGGCGGCTGCGGGGGAAACGGAGTCAGAGCTGCTGCCGGGGCTCGGCGGCGCGGGCAGGTGAGCAGGGCCCCGGGCGCCCCGCGGCTCCACCACCCAGGGAGCGCACCCCGAGTCCCCTACCTCTGTCGTCGCGGTTCTTGTGGAAGCAAATGAAGACGTGGGCGGCGTGCAGCTGCTCCTCCGCGAACTCAAGCAGCACTGCAAAGCTGAGGGGCCGCCATCAGCCCCGCCAGCCGCAGGCCTCACTTCCGGGGGCACCCCCCCCCCATCCGGGCCCCAAAGGCCCCCGGTGCCCACGGCCACAGCCCCCCCCCCCCCCCCCCGGAAGACTGCTGGCCCCGCCACCCCGACCCGCGGAGCGCCCAGCCCCTCACCTGTCCTTGCTCCCCTCGGGCAGAGCGCCCCCAGGGATCTCGATGTACAGGCTGCAGCCGCTCAGCACCGCTCTCCAGTTAATGTGTCTGGAACCCGTGAGCCTGGTCTGGACGTTCAGAATCCTCGTCTTGCTGTTAGACGTTAGTTCCTCTGTTACATTCAGCCGATTATCCTGCAGAGGGGGAGAGCGCTCTGTCCGCACTCAGACACCGGCCGCCGCTCACGGCCGCCGCCCCGCGGGCTTCCTCACCAGTCCACACTTGGCAAAACCCAGAGGCCACCAAAATGACCCCCCCCCGCCCCAATGCGGGGGGGGCTGGGCCCAGACCCCAGGGGGCACCCGTGCTGGTGCCCTGAAGGGTAATAAACCAAGCGGTGGAGGTGAGAAGCAGGTGCGCACAGGTGCGCGTCCGCCGCCGCCCCCCGCCCCCCGGGCGCCGGCAGGAGGGGGTACTTACAGAGTAAAATAAATTAGCTGAAAGATTGTGATCCCTCTGACTATTCCCTCGCCCACCTGGGATCTTCAGGGGTGGGTGAGGGACATCAGGAGCACCACCGAGGCCCTGGACCCAGGTTACTACAGCAGTTAGGAGAGACCCTGGGACTGGAAAAAAAGGGGCGCTCAGCCCGACTGCGGGGAGCCCCCCAAGGCCCAGCAGGAGCAGCCAGGCGCGCGTTTACCCTGCGGGCAGCGGGCCGGCGCTCGGGGGGCCCCCGGGCCGCCCGGCCCCGCTGAGCCACCCCGCACCAGGCCCCGGGCCGGGCCCAAGCCGCGCCCTCCCAGGCCTCCGCTGACTTCCCGTTTCCCACCCCGGCCCAGGGCACTTCCCCTTCTCCCTCCCGCCGGCCGGCGAGCCCGGCCCCGAGCAGCGCCCCGGGCGGCGCCCCTCCCGCACCCTCCCCGCGGGCCCCGGGGTTGCGTCATCGCGGCGGACGCGGCCCGCGGCCCCGAGGGAGGTTTTCACAATCGGCGCGCTCGGCAGCGCCAGCAGCCATTTGCTGCGCAGCGTCAACAGGGCCCACGGTCGCCTCCATTTTGCACGGCTCGCATCTGGGTCGCCCCCCGCCCCGTCCCAGGGACCGCGTCCGCGGGGCGCCCCCATCGCCACAGCCAGCCCCCGGGGGCGCCGTCGCAGACCCTGCCACCTGCCGCGGGCGCGCGTCGTCGCGGAGCCCCGGCCCCGGGAGGCGGACGCCACCGCCCCCGTCTGGCCGTGCAGCGGAGGGAGCGGCCGCCGGGCCCCCGACGGAGGCGGCCCCGGCCGCGCCTACGTGGCGCCCTGAGCTCCGCGCGTCCTCGGGGGTCCCGGCGGCCGCTCGCACTCGACCCCAGCCCCCCTCCGCGGTCCACGACGCCCGCCCCGCGCCCGCCCCCTCGCCGGGCCCTCGCGGACCCCGAAGCGCTGCCGGGAGGGGTGGCCGCCCGCCCCGCCCCCAGCGCGACTGTGCCCTCGACAAGAAGGCGGATCTCGCGCTCCCGCCACCTCCGTGGCGCCCCGCGGCCGGCTCCCCCACGGGCCTGCGCGGCGGCGCTTCTGGAAGCTTCGGGCGGGGGCGGGGCGCTCACCTCTCGCTGCTGCGGCCTCCGCGGCTGTGCAGGCTGAGGAGCGGCATGGCGCGGGCGGCGTGGACGGCGGTGCTGGGTTTATCCCCCTCCTTCTCTCTGGCGAAGCAGTGGCTGTTGAGGATCCGCTGCAGGGAGGATTTCACCATCCGGCCGCTGGGGTCCGAAACCAGAAAACCTCCGCTGCGCTTCTCCGCGCCGCCGCCGCTGCTCGCCGTTCGCAAAATGGCGCCGCCGCCGCCGCGGGCCTTTATAGGCGCCGCGCCCGGGCCACGCCCCCACGCCGCCTGGAACGAGGCCGCGCGAGGGGGCGGGGCCGCGGGGCCCCCGAGAATTCCGGGCGCGCCCGCCCCTCTCGGCACCTGATTGGCGGACGGTCCGTGGCGGGGGCGGGGCAGCCGCAGGTCCCGCCTCCTCCACCGCTGTCGTCTCTCTGTGGGCACGCGGGAGGCGGGGCGCGGTGGCGTCGCGAACGCGGCGCGCGCGCCCCGCCCCCATCAGCCGGGCCTGGGGGCGGGGGCGGGGGCGCCCGGCTCTGCGGGTCCTCGAGGGGCTGGCGGTGGTGCCGTCTCCGCCGTGGCCGTTGTCGCCCTCGCTAGGGTCCCTGCCCTTAGCGGGGCCCCCTCTCCCGGGAGGTTCGGGGCGACAGAGGCCCCCATATTCGCGGGCAGGGGTCCCAGAGCCCGCACCCCACGGGGCGGAATTCTTTTCAGTGATAACCTCGGAAGGGTCGGTCCAGCGGTGGTTTTCTGGGTTCGGTCTTGCGTTTCAGAACAGCCGCAGTTAAAGAGAGAACCTTCTGTGCTGAAGATACTCGGATTTAATGAAATCGTGCGTGTCGCGTCCGTACTTAGTCAACAACCCTCCTGCTCCCAGGGAAACTCAGAGCCTTCCCGGAGAAACGCAGGCCCCTCCCCGGGTCAA